GAAATGCTGATGGTGCCCTCCAGTTTTGCCTCACGACGCAGCAAGGGCACGGATTCAGTGTGGAAGCTTTGGATGCTTGCATTAAAGCATGAGGGCCCGTTGTGGCGAGTCTGCCATAGTCAGCAAAATATCCTGCCTCGGACAAGCACCTGCTGACGACGGACACACAGAGGATCAAGTTCGGAGTTCAAGTGTTTGTTTTGCGCGAAAAACAGAGAGAAAGTCTTCTTGACTGCGCACTCTCTGATGTTAAATGTTTACTTCTTTCTTTGTGACAAATTTGCGGTCGTGAAAAACGCGGAGGACACAAAACGCCGTGCCCAAAAGTAAAGAGCTGACGCACCTTGGTCTCCTTCTCCAACGGACCATCCAGAGTTGCACCGAAAACTGTGGCGATGCACCCCTTTTCAAGCTCGCGCAAAACCTTCCACTGCAGACCCCCCTCCCCCCCCCCTCGTATGACGCCCCTGGCGAAGCGACCGTGGCAACGGGTTGAAGAGCTGTCTTGTATCGCTGCAGTGCTACTGCGCCCATGAAACGCACGTTCCCGCCATCTACAGCCGTCTGTCCACAAGATATCGACTTAACTGCCAGGGTTTTCGATTAATTCCTCTGCATTTGTTTCGCGTGGAAAGGGAATCGGTTGCCTACTTCATTGAGGTTCTAAATCTTTCATCCTTAATATATACAGCATACCTTAACGTCCGTTCGAATCGTCGCCATTCGTCTTCTGGCTGCTCAAAACACAGAGTTATTTCGCGTCCCACTCTCTTCGCGGGCCCAGTGGCACAAGGCCGTCGGGCTGGCCGTGGTCGAGTTCGTGTTCATGAAGTATGCATACGGGCTGATGCGGCTCGTCGCCCGCGAGCTGATGGCGTATGATACCGAGACTCCCGCGAAGTGCGACGTGAGCATGTATTTCATGTATTGCAAAAGCGAGGGGAGCATGGGTGGGTCCTGTCGCGCGTTGGGTGTCGTACACGAGACAGAGCAGCACGAGCACCAACAGCTAGCGTTAGCGGCGACCAACAGGATCCTTGCAGTTTGGTGGGCGTGGACGAGACGTCGTAAACCTTAGGAGCGGGGAAGATTATGCGGATGCTGTGATCCTCGTATCTACGCACGTGATAATGTGACGTTGCCCCCTATTAACCTGCTCCCGTCGATCCCCTTGTCTCATTTGTTCCCGCACACAGGACATGATGGACTTTGTCGGCTCTACGCTCGAGCTGCCCCTTGAGGCCCACAGGTCGGGAGGCCGGGATGCCCTGGACCTGTATGGCATCTGGGGGGATCTCCGGGGGGGGGGAAGACCCTTGTTCATCTGAGGAGACAAGTAAGCTTGGAAATTTGAGTGCGGCTGGCGTGACTGCGTTAAGCCTGCCACGAGGTAGGCCTGAACAGTGCATGACATCATTGATCATGGAGGATGAGACCTGCTCTTCTCTTGAACAAGGGATGGCGAATACCGGGAAATACGGTGCATAACCCCCACTTCAGTAATATTCATCTTTAATATTTTAATATTTTGACGTCATTTGGTAGACCTAAACTCGACGTTCGACCTCGACCTGACCTTGAGTTAGCTTAACTATCGGCTCGTTCTGTGCCACCTTTTTTCGAGAGATAGCTACGCCCTCGTTCACTTACGAATCTCAAGTCAAGCGAATAAGGATGGGCGAGGGGAGATGCATGCCATGATTCACGACTTTGTGGACGGCGTATTCCTACGTTCGCTTCGGTGGCAGTCTTGGCTGTATCCTTGTTGCATGGGTTGATAGCGTACCATCGTGAATCAGGCTAGCGTTCTAGCTCAAAAAGTTCATCAACAATAAATTGTAGTCTAAGAAATATAGAACAATTCTCGGCACGTTTCCACGACGCTGCCCGCCGATATGCATACGCAGGGATTGCGCTCGTAAGGCGCGTATTTTGATATCTAAATGTATCACGCCTTCATTGACCCCGGGGATGGAGAAATACTCTCCCCTGAAACCTTAAAGAAACTTCCAGCTTTTAAGACACAAAAAAAGCAAGGTGTGTCTTAAAAGCGAACGCGACTGCTGTATGCTTCAACGCGCTTGAAATGTTGTCGATCGAGTTTTTTCTTTCTGTGCTGCTCCAATGTAAGCAAGCCCCTCTCACGCGCACGCCTTGTCCTTCTTATGCGAGATGATACGTCCACACTGTGTCCAGAGCAGCCTATGTGTTCAAGATCCGTGTAGGCGCAGCTCTGGCGAGATTCTTCCACACTCCATAGACTAGTCCCATAGCCTAGTCCTTCTGACTATATAGTTACACACATCTATCCCTAACCCATTTTTCCGCCGGCCTGTTTGTCCTGGCACCTCCTTTCACTTGCCCCCCCGCCACCCCTCTCAAAACCCAACAGGTGTTTCCGGAACTTCTTCGTATGGGTGACTTGAGAGAACCAGGCGCTTCAGCCCGGCCTCGACTTTGACACGGAGACGTTTCGCGAGGTTGGCATCTCACATCTCACCCAGTACGCGTGCCATTACCTGTCCAAGCGGGTAAGTTTTCCAAATCCAAACGTTGTGCGTGCATGTAAGCCTGGGCGTGACATATCTGTTGGGCATGTTCGGTGGTTCGCCTGTGTGGGATTGCATATCTGATGAGAAGTTTCTCGCCGTGCTCGCCACCTTCTCACACATTTAGTAGGTTTATCCTCCCGAAGACTGCAGTCTGTGCATGTATTTTGTAATTTGTATTTTGAGACTTTACAAGAACAGGCTAGCAATATCTCGCACTGGTTTTCGATAACCCGATGGCATATGCAGCAGCCACTTGATCTATTCTGGGTTTGTTGGTCGCAGTCGCTTTCATGTCCATACGCATGCTGCTTTTATTCACCCCCATGAATATGGTCTGCAGGCACCTCACCTGGACCCCCACCCAGTGGTTTCCAATGCTGTCGTTGACCTTGTGGTGCCGTCATGCATCACATGCGGCACATTTCTGACAACATCGTCGCATCCGTCAAACTTTGATCAGCTGCACATACATCCGCTCATATTCCAAATTTGATATCTGTTCCACCATTCGTTTCTTACCATCTGATCCCCTCAACTTGCGCATGCCCGCTTTTGTGCCAGATCAGGGACGACCAGATCGGAGATGGCGCGAGCGACGACGACGCAAATCCGGACGATGGCGCGTTAGCGTTGGCTGTCGAGGCGGCCACGCCCTGATCTCCTGTTGTTGCCGGTATTTTCAAGCACGGGTGTTGAGTTCGTGTTTCGTTCTGTGTGAAGCGTTACAATCCCGCATGGGTTGTATCGTTGGGAGTCTCGGAGTCTGAGTGTTGCCAATTTCCCTATCGGTGTTGTGTGCTTGAATGTTACAGGAAGATCCATGACGGAAGAACAGCTATTGTGTGCCCTATGTGCTGATTTCTTATTTCTTGGGTTGGGTTTGGAAACCGGCAAATTTTGGTTTTCTGCATTCTCTGATATTGTGCGGAACAATGCATGCGAAATGCAACGCAAGACCGCGCCGCCTGATGGTAACATGAAATGGTACGCATTTTTTATTACCGCAATTACAATTTGGTTTTAAATCTTTAGTGAAATAGTGTGCACATCATCTAGCATTGTTAATTATTTGTTCCGTCCGTGTCCTCTCAAGTCAGGCGTTCGTGTTGTAGTCTATAGGCAGTAATTCGATGCAGGTGAGCTTTAATTGGCGGGTTCCCTTTCTTGGTGATACCGACGATCCTGATGGAAGAACCTCTACTTTTGACGCAATTGTTGAGCGTTAGATGTTGTTGTTCCCGTTTTTTTTATTATGGTGCGGCACTGTATGATGGTACACAATATGACATTTGTGGGGTGAGTCTTGAGTTGAGCCCACATGTTTTAAGTCATTGCCTCGTTGGTTTTTTATGCGCCGATTCGCTCCAACGCGAGAGGGGTAAGACAATCTTTTGCGTTTTGTTCTTGGCGTGCTTGTGCACGATGGACGCGTTCAGAGTAAGTTGACGTGTATGATTCTGCGTTAGTCGCGGACAGCAGCAGGGTCTGCGATGCAACACTCAACAACACATATTAACCACAAGTTAAGACGCTATCGAAAACCCTCGTAGGGGCGTTGGCCTAATGGTGCGTATCCCAACCTTGCCCAAGGTCGCCACCTTCACCAATGGTGGTAAGGGGCGACGTTGCCAGGCCTGTTGACCCTGGTGATGGCTTCTCAAATACCCTTGCCCAAGGCCGCGTGCCTGGCCAAGGTCGGTGTGCGTACCCTGGCAGTGTCTCCACCTAGGCCAAGGTGGCTGTCATGCCGAACCCTGCCCATTTACCGACCTTGTGCAAGGTTGGGGGGGGGGGCGGCATTTTCAAATGGGGGGCGTTGATACAGGGTTGACCCCCTCCGTCCAACCTTCCTTGTGGCTGAGCCGAATGGCCACCTGTGTGTTGTTGCTGCTGCTGCTGCTGCTGCTGCTGCCAACCATCATCTCCTGTCAAAATTTCGCCGTCGCCGACAGTAGTCAAGTTTCGGTGCTGACATTGGCGCCAGCTCCAGAGCGTTCGCCGACCGCCGCTGCGGCGGGAGCCGCCGCCCTCGTTTCGGCGCCGGCGTTGACCAGCGGAGATGGGCTGATGAGCAGGGTGTGCATAGTCTCGTCATTTTTCTCTTCTTGTGACATGATGCTGCAGGGAGAAGAATGGAATCTGTATGAGAAACCGCAGAATACCCCGCCCACTGGCAGGCTGCAGTACGGACAAAACAGCAACACCACCAGCACTTCGTTTGTTCGATGACCACCAGTGCCTCGTAAGAGGTCAACTTTACCTCATTTTAACTATGCGCGCAGGTTTGTTTGTCTATTGCGGTGCGCCCTTCGCGCTGCGCCTGTTCTTCGGCAGATTCGACGGGTGCCTCTTCGATTTCCCCGCTTCCAGGCACGGGAGAAGTTTATTTCGTCTCAAGATATTTTTACGGTGGGGCGGGCGGAGTCCTTGGGCCGAGACCGGAAAAAAATGTTCTCCGTTCCTGCCGTGTCTTTCCAACAACGGCAATCTCACAGAACAGCCGAGGTGAGCATAATGCGTATGCATAGCACTCCTTTCAGCGGCATCTCCGTTGTTCACGAACTGTGATTTCTACATGTAGTCGAGATCATCGCAGGGCCTTGAGGTCAAACTTGCAACTCCATTCACCTCGTGCAGGTATCTGGACGATTTGTCGGAGTCGGAAAGAAGTACACGGAAGTTGCTTGCGCGTGGTGAGAGCCCTGCCTTCGTGAGAAGCCTATACTGCCTATTGTGTGTATACTGTGTACCCAGTAGTTATGCGTTGCTCTAAAGGTGGGGCTTCCGGGAGAGTTTGGGAGCAAGGGTAGGAGGTGGGAGGGCCACGAATCGCAAATAATTGTGGTTCGCACGACTTTTGGTTCATGTGCAAACTTAGCTGTTGGTCAAGTGGGATGCATTCGGGTTTCAAAAGAGCTGTGATTGCAGCCTTCTACCTAGGCATAGGTGGGCATTTTATGGAACTCCCCCTCCAGATCTCTACTGGGCCATCGACACATGCCGGGGCGAATCCCGCCGTTCTGTGTCGTATGCTGTACAAACATGTACGGAGCAAAATTCTGCCATCGAGAACATGTCGATAACTTGCTGAATTATGTTGTATCCTTGTCCCTTACCTAGATCATTCAATGTAAGTATTGGATTGGGTTGGGTGAGGCCTCCTGCACCGACAGGAGGACCTCGCCGTGAAGTAACTCTTCGGGCTGGGCATACAGATCGTAGTATGCCCAGACCCGAAGCGTTTGAATGATCAGCAAGTTCATGAATAGAAATAGTATTCGTAGGACGGGTGGGATGGTCTCAAATATTTCTTCTTTCTACTCTGCTCCGGCGTATTTCGGGAGAGAGAAAAGGAACAAGGTAGAGTCATTTTCCAACAGCTTCATGGGATATCTGACTCTTCCCGATTTCGTTCCGAAATCTGGATTCGTCTCAAATCCGAGATTACCTTGGTAATCTATCGTAACAAAACAAGAAAGATTAACAACGAAGACCTTGAACGTTTACCTCCGGGTGGTTGTTGAGACCCCGGAACCTCTACACAGGACCCAATATATCGACAACGAACAATAATTAGAAATGAATCGGCGCAGAGTTTCTCGTGTACCTAAGGTATGTGTGCAAGAATTCCGAGTATACCCAAATCGAACCGGAAAGTACGGCGTGCTGTTTTCATGTTGATTTTTTTTTTCTCTTCCGTGAACCAGCTTGTACGATATCCTGTTCCAGATCAAACGGTCGTCCAGAAGTGCTGTACTTTCCAAGATTCGAGAATACGCGCACCACGTGATGAATATAATGATATTATGCTTGTATGACTTGTAGTTTCTAGGTGTTGGTGTGTTAGAAACGTTGCAAGTCGATCCTTACGTGTCCATCCGATGCAGGTTATGACCAACAATGCAGCACTCCTACTCGTGCGTTCTCACGTTCCTCTCGACGCCAGAGGTGTTTGGCGGCTGTGCGGGTGATGCCGGTAATAACACCTGAATTTGACGAGGTGTGGCGTTGGGACGGATGGACAACGCTTGATGAGCAAGTCGAAGATGGTGCGGTCGACGCGGACGGCAATATCGTTCTCGTGGGGACACAAGGCTACGCGACCGAAGAAGACTATCTCGATGACACTTTCGAAGATGAATTGTCCGGAGATTTCGCGGCCGTCAAGTTGAACGGCGCGTCAGGTGCAGTGCTGTGGTATTTGACTGGGTCGTCTCTGGGGAACGAAGTGGACGTCTTTTTCGCTGTGGCCACGGACAGCAATAACGACATAATCATGGGGGGTAGGACGGCGGGATACTGGTCATCATCCACCCCCGACTATTTACCGCATATGGCCGTCGTGAAGCTTGATAGGAGCACGGGGGATGAGATATGGAGATACCAGGAACACGCTCCGGACTCTTCCACGACGTGGGGGTTGAGCTACTGCAGTTTGGGCAGTGTGTCTGGTGTGGCCGTCGACGGCGAAGACAACTGCTTCTTGGTCGGGCAAACGTCTGGCAGCCTTGTCTACGGAGAGGGCGACGCAGGAGATTCTGAATTCTTCGCCACCAAGCTAGACGGGGCAGATGGAAGCGAGATCTGGACAATACTGCTCTTTGCTCTGAACCGGTTCGTTTATTTTTCGTTACCTGTTGGCCCCTGTGAACAAGCCCTTGATGGCAGTTGTCCCCTGGTGGACCTTCCGCCGGGCCTGCCTGGCTAAGACTCGGAACACCGTGTCTCGGTTTCGCGTTGCCTACCTGGTCTCAATGCGCAATACTTCGGTGACCTGCCCAGGTTTCTACCCACCGGTCTCACTCAGAATAACTCTACGCGACCGGTTCGCCAGATCAATAATACCGTCAGACAATCGGGGTTATCGTGCGATGCGCATGGGTGCAGTGGTGGGAGAATTGGCACCGGCGAAAGGCGTGATATAGTTGACCATTCTCTTGCTTTCGAATCCTCTGGGAATCCGTGGTTTTTTCAAGTTCACGTTGATGGAGCTCTCCCCACGCGCATTCTTCGCAAAAAAAGGTCATGTCCCGTGTCGCTTTCGCGGAGGACTCGTTGGTCCCTCCTCCTGCACGCTGGCTGTAGCTAGGGACGGAATGCTTGGTAGCGATATGTTTGCGTTTGTTTTCGTGTTGTTGTCGTTTTGAGACTTGTCTACTGTAGTCTAGGGCCTGTTTTTGTTGACCGTATTCCGGTCCAACCAACTCCTCAAACTTTCAAACCCGACAAAGAAGATCTCAAACAACAGCAGTATCTTTTCGATTGTGCGCCTCGTCCAAGATCCAAGAATGCTCCTTCCTTCTTTACAGCAGTAGATCCAGTGCCTGGAGGACGGCCAAATTAGATAGCTTCCGAGAACCAGTTTGACAAGAGTGCTATAGGGCAAGGGCATATCTGCTTGGAATCGCCTGCTGTGTGTGGTAGTCTCGGGTCTCGGGACGCGCGCACGCGTGTTGTTGCTGGTGTCACATCTTGGAAGAAAACAGCAGGTAGCGCCAACCAACTTGCTTGTACCCTTGGCGGTCACCATAGGTGGATCAGATATGCCGGCCTATGGCCTATGTCTTCTACCTGGTACAGTCGGATTGACCGCGCTCTCTTGCCATCATGAACGAGACAAGTGAGAAGGACACAGCACACATGCAGCAATGTGAGGGGGGCACGCTGAAGAAAATCTTGGGGCCCCGCGGATTCTTTTTGGCCTGGCATCTCCCCCTCCACCTGACAGCTCCTGGCCCCCCCTCACCATCGCCAGGCGTACGTATAGAGCAACACCGTTTGAGAGCGACAGAGAGCAAAGAGAGTGGGTGCGTCTTGCATCCCCACAATCACCCCTCCTTCGTCGACACTTCTTGAAGCTCGAAGAGTTGGTGACATGTTGGCCAGGGCTACCGCCGTCCTGGCGGCGTTGCATGCATTGGATACGCCGCCGCGACAAACGCACGCGTTCGTACCCTCGACGCTGCCTCTCCGGGCTGCTCGTGGTGCCACGCAGCAGCAGGCCTCCTCTGCTCTCGGCCTTGGGGCGGTGAACGCCAGGTCAGAGAGAGAGAGGGAGAACGTGTGTGCAGAAGTGTGTCGGCAGCAGCAGTGCTCAATGCAAACGTGTGTGTGGCAGGGAACGGGGTGTGCGTGCCATTGAAAAACTGCTGTCAATGATGCACGTTGTTCTGGCTGGTCGATATGCAGGTCTGCTGGGCGGTCAAAACGCTCCTGGCTGTAGAAATGTGTTCCGAAGGCATGTACATAAAACGGAGCTTAACACCCTTGCTATCGGTGCCTCTCTTGCTGTTTCGGCTGGTCATGGCACAGGAGGTAGCCGTACCTGCGCCCCACATAGTATAGCTTTGCTGCTGTCGTCCTCCAACAACTGCAGTCGCGCATGTAAACCTCACCCCACTTGCTGCCGGTGCGGGCTCCGCCAGGAGGCATGCAGCTGCACCGACCATGCGCGTGGAGCGGGGTGCCGGCGGGGAAGTGGGTCCGCTCAAGGCGACCGTCGCGCCACCCGCTACGGAGCAGGAACAAGAGGTTATGCGGCCCCCATCCGAAATCAAGTGGGCAGAGGTGGGGAAGTGTTTGTGGCCCTGTGCTTGCAGCAGTACATCACTATGCTGCAAAAGTACACACACAGTCTAGGTTGCTGTGGTTACACAGCAGTGCTCACATGCAGACTAAGAGTACATTTACATTTGCATACACTGCAGAAGGAGAGTATATTCTCCCGCAGGTGTCGTTGAACTTGACACAAAAGTTTTCATCTGTGGAAGAAGAGCACGAAACTTGTTGCGTTTTTGTACGAAAAAAAAGCTAGACTCTCCGGGTCAGGATCCGGTTGCTCGCCTCGAGAGGGAGTACCGGTGGATGACATAAATAATCCACACCCCAGGAGCGATTTACAAAGCTCTCGATAAGACAGCTTCAACGCCGCCGTTTTTGGCGCTGCCGCGCTTTATTGGTGTGGAGATACGAGCTGTAAAAAGAGTTTCAGGGGGGGTGGTGTCTTGTGTCACCGACGGTAGCCTGGTGTACAGGTTTTATGAACACTCTCCCAAATCGAAAGGAAACTGCCCTTGTGCAGATTGCAGTTTCTGGTTGACGAGATGATTTTTCACCCTACTCGTTTCGCCGGCAGAATGTTGCTCCCCAGGCAAGATAATGATCGCTCGCTGTTGACCCGAGAGTTTTTCAGGAAAATAACTTAAAAAACACGTGTGAAGCCTTTTGTAGTTAGTCTCGAGATACGACCACAAGCAGTCGAAGGGAATGTGTTGAAAGCCTTTACAGTGAGTGGAGGGAAACCGGCTGGGTACTGGGCTTATTTCGAGTCTGTTTTGAGCCTGTACATTTTTTAGTGAAAGTGCACACCGCCGATCCGTAACTGTCAAACGCACGGTCTGTGTGCTGTTGTTGCTGTGTTTTTTTAAGGTGTGGGACACCCTGGTGAAGGACTTCGGCGTGGACGAGTCCAAGTTCGAGGGCTACTCGGCCATCTCTAAGGAGGATCAGCTCAAGGGGTACGAGATGATGCAGCTGTGCCGCCAGTTCGAGAACGCGTGCAACCAGGCCTACATGCAGGGGAAGATCAGGGGCTTCATGCACCTCGACAACGGCCAGGTTCGTGCCCATCCAATTGTCTACAGCAGTGCGCAGGTTTTTCTTAGGTAGGCAAACATACTGGATAACGCATGGAAATGGCTAGGTTAGGGCCAGGGTCGTCTGCGTGCCCCCTGTCGTCTGCGTGCCCCCTGTCGTCTGCGTGCCCCCTGCCTGGTCTTTTTTCGGGATATAGTTATTTTCTTTGCGTAGGCAGGTCCTACGGTCCATCTCCTTTTGCTGCTTTTTTTCCCTTTTTTTTGTGTGTCGTGAGCGCTGTTCCTGGCTGGTCATTGGTAACGTAGTACCGCGCAAGAGTTTTGGCCCCGCCCTGAAAAATCAACAGCATGGCGAACCCAGCTTTCTCAAAGCCGGAAAGGGCATCGCTGCAAAATAGTAGCGTCAAGCACGTCGAAGCACGATCATTCTCACGCTGAGCGCCACCAACGGTACAATAGCGGAAACACGCGGTGATCCCTCGAACCAACACTCCCCAATCTTCCAACGCCGACCTCGCCAACCTCCTCTTTCATCCCGAAAAAAAAAATGCTTCCGTTTCTCTTCAGGAGGGCATCCCGGCCATGGTTGCCGACAGTCTCGGCAACGGCGACAAGAAGATGAGCTACTACCGGGAGCACACGCACGCTCTGGCCAGCGGGGTGGACGCCGGGCGCGTGATGGGGGAGCTGTTCGCGAAGGACGGCGGCACCTGCAGGGGGGCGGGCGGCTCGATGCACGTCTACGACAAGGACACGCACTTCCAGGTCGGATGATGATGCCGCGGGATTTTTTTTTTTTTTAAGAGGACCCTGGTTACCGTTGGTGTTGACGAGGCAAGTCGGCGGGGGTACGCAAACTGCCGTTCTTTGGTCCATCATCAGGATGAACGGAGACCGACGGATGGGATTTGTCTGGACTGCAACATTTGGTGCCGGCAAAGGTTTTAGTTTTTTTTCAGGGCGGGGTTGTCGTGGCGAAAATGGTCTTCACGGCATGAATGTACGGTGGTGGGGGTTGCAAGGAATGCTGTTGCACAGTACATGTTGAAAGGTCGTGGTGGTGAATATTGGCCGCGGGTAACGAGACACATGAATGTTTGGGTCCCCGTGAATGCGCCCCGACAGGCGGTGCACATCCCCCCCCCCCCACCCAAGGTCGGTTGTGGAGGTTGACCTCCGTACGAATATACTTGGTGTGCATTCGTGTATTTTCGTTTGTTCCTGGTCGCCTCTGACCGCTGTCTTTTTTTTGTTTTGTTTTTCAACAACTTTTTGACAGGGAGGTTGGGCCTTGGTGGCGGAGCAGATCGCGTACGCGGCCGGCGCCGCCCGGTCCATCCTGATGGACAGGCAGCTTGACCCTGAGGGAATGAAGGACGATGACCGGTAAGTCACCACGCCGCCCGGGTTGTGGCGGGAAGGTCGGGGGGAGTGCAGTGTGTGTAGCTGGGTGGTGGCATCGCCGGAGGTCATGGTGGGGTGCGCGGAAGGGGTACGCCAAGTCGGAGAAGCCTAGAGGTGCGTGAGGAAAAGGCTGAATATTTGGAGGAGATTGTCGAGATGTGCGTCTTGTAGTGTTTTTTAGCCCGGGGGGGGCGGGGACGAGAGCGGTAAGACTTTCTCAAAGCACGTCATCGCCGAGGGGTTTTCAGGGAGGGGGACGGCGGCGGTTGGATGATGCCAAGCCGTACTTGCCTGGCGTGGTTGTGGACAACTTCAGAACAACACCGCTGCTGCTTCTGCTGTTGCTGTTGTCGTTTGTCTTGTTCGTTTCAGGCTGACCATCGTGTTTCTCGGGGAAGGGGCGGCGCAGAACGGCCGCATGGCGGAGACCCTCAACGCCGCCGCGAAGGAGAAGCTTCCGCTGCTCTTCCTCGTGATCGACAACGGCCGCGCCATCAACACCTTCACGCCCGACGTGGCCGCAAACTCGGACGTTTTCGCGCAGGCATGTGGTATTGAGACGGGGGGGGAGTACAGTGGGGGGGCCGATAAAAGGTGGCATTAATAGGGCCGCCTGCCCTATTTTAAGGCCGGTGAAATCGCTTGACAGACGACTGAGTAAATCAAGTTGTCTCATGCTGCCGGGTGCCCCCAGTGTTTTTACCTTGGACGTTGAACCATAGCGCCCTTATATCAGGCCCCCTACTGTATGGTGCAGTAACCTTGGCAGGGTTTTCGTTCCAAGCAAAAATGTTAGGGTTAGGGAATATGGTCTGCGTACCCCCGTCTCTGTTCTATTTCCTCATGATACTTAATTTCCCGCTGAGCTGGTCGGTATGGTGCAGCTTGCTCGATGTGTAGCTTTCATGGCGAAATGCGTACGATTTCCCGGCTCGCACACACCAGCCGCGACCGAGTACGGCACAGCAGTGAAACGTTCCTGCTGGTTTCTTGTGAAAACTGTTGGCTATTTTGCAGGGGAAGCACTACGGGGTGCCCGGGGTTAACGTGGACGGGCAGGACATGCTGCAGATGCTCTCCACCGGCAGGGCCGTGACGGACTACGTCAGGAAGAACGGGCCCGCCATTCTTCAGGTGTGTTTTGAATGACTGCTGGTGTTGTTGTTGTGATCATGTCGTTGTTGAGGTTGTTGCTGCTGCTGCTGCTGCTGCTGCTTTGCTGTGGTTTTGGTTCGTGTTGTTGTTGTTGTTGTTGTTGTTGTTGTCGTCGCTATTTTTGTTGACTTTGGTGTTGTTGATGCTGCTGCCGCTGCTGCTGCGGTTGTTGATTATGTTGTTATTCTTTCATGGTTGATTTGTTGGCGGATTTTGCGAAAGTAACCCTAAGCCCTTTTGACCGCTCGTTGTCGCCGGCTATTCCTCCCCGTTGCAGGTCCAAACCTACCGCTTCTCCGGCCACTCCCCCGCCGACCCCGAGCACGAGAGGGGCCGCAAGCAGGAGAAGCGCTGGGCCAGGGCTACGCAGGATCCCCTGGCCATCTACGAGTCGGAGGCGCTCGAATTTGGCATTACCAAGGTGCGTCGTGCCCGTACGTGACGGAAGATATCACACCCCCTGGACCGATTTTTTCAAGGCTTGATTGTAGTCCTCAGCAGAGGAGAGCGCCGGTGCCGAACATCATCGAATTAGACCGGCTTCTTAGGGTTAGGAGCGAACGTGGAGAGGTAGGGGGGGGGGAGGGGGGGGGATGCCATGCACGGTACGTCCAGATTGGGGGGGAAGGAGGGAGGGGCATAGTACATTTATTGAATTGTGCGTCGGAAATGGGTTCTTTCATGCCGTATGCGAGAGCGAGGACGTGATGTAGGCGGAGATGCAGCAGTTGCAGTGGCCTGCGGATATGTGGTTGGTGTGCAGTGCTGTGCGCGTAGGATAGGGCAGAAGTCGAGACGCAGAAGCAATTCTGCAATGGGAAGCCGTTCAGTTGCTCAACGCTCACGTTGTGGTGCAAGCAAGAAGGGCAGGGGTCAAGGTTTCGTTTGCGTCAAATCGAACACAAACCAAACTGGTGTTCCGCTTCCGTTTTGGACGGGTAAGGAAGTCAAGAGGTACTCGGCACAGACCCGGAACGGTTTTTATTGTAAAGACAACAACAACGAAGACGTTTGTCCGCCCCGGTAGATGTAGTGCTTGTTCCATGGTTCTCCCCTCCCGCTGCCACCCCGAATTGTGTCGCAAGAGCCACAACGGCGCTGAGGAGAGGGCGGGGTACTCGCCGATCTAGTCCCCGCGGCCTCACGCCTTACTCCACCAGGAGGAGCTGGCGGCCGCTGTTAAATGGCAGAGAGTGGACACTCCGACATGCCGACCTAGCCCGATTTATACCCCCGTCACGCTAGATCACCGGCCCTACTACCGCTGGCCCACGCTAGCAGTGGACACTTGATCTTGCAGGTGTAGCCCTATTTATCCCCCCGTATCCCTAGATCCCTGACCCTACTTCAGTAGGAGCGGACCCCCGCTACCAGAGAGTGGACACTTGATCATGCAGGTTTTGCCCCTTGTGTGCCCCCGTAACGCTAGATTCCCGACCCTTGCTTTTTTTCCAACAGGAAGAGCTGGATGCCGCTAAGAAGAGGGCGGGAGTCACCGTCAAGGCCGCCGTGGAGTTCGCGGACGCGTCCCCGCCCCCTCCGGCCTCTCTCGCCAAGGTTCGTGCTTGTCGTGCTTGTCGTCGACACTTGCGTTTCTCCTCCGCCCACGAGCTGGCTCTGCGTACGGTGTACGGTGGAGAGTCGTCGGTTTTTTTGTTCTGGTGGGGCTACTGTAGCTGAATGGCTGTACTGGGTCCTGGTGCGCTTGTATTTGTTGTGCATGGAGTATGTTTTTTCTGCTTAGAGTGGGATCGACTAAAGTGGAGTTCTTCTGATGTCCCAGGTGGGTTGGGCAGATCACCTGATGAATTGGCCTAACCCCTACCGTTCCCGCCTCTCCCCTAAACAGCCACTTTGACATGTTTCACCTACCCACACCAACGAGCACTTGATTCCATCGCTCGCTTGTTTTCTTTTTGCCCCTTGCTGCCGTGTGCATACAATCAGGAGCTGGAGTACCCCGACTTGCCCTCCACGGACTACAACCTGAAGGCACCGCCCGCCAACGCGGAGGAGGTCAACGCTAGGTCACTGCCGCCGCACTCCAGGGCCGAGGCTGAGGCGCACTGTGCCATGCTCGAGGTGCGGTGTGCGGCGCGTAATGCCTCTACCCCCACCACGCCGTAGCACACGATTGTTGTTTATTCGTCTATCCCCCTCTCCCCCCCCCCCTCCCGTAACAAGAACGAGAGGTACAAGTGCTACTGTGCAATCGGGAAACGCGCATGGTGTGGCCCCACGGGAACGGTGTCGGCTCATGAACCCAGCTCTTGTTTATTTAGTGTTTGTGATATATCGCTGGTGGTACGTCAGCGTGTGTGCCACACACACGCATTTTTTGTGGCCCACGCCAAACGGCTGGGCCGTGATTTTTGTTGTCTGTTTCGACCCCCCTTCTTTGTCTTTTGTCGTCCCTGTTATTAATCGCGTTGATGCTTTTTCTTTATTCGTTTTGTGTGTGTGTGTCGGCATCACTTTTTTTTTTTTTTCATTGTTGTTGTTTGGACAGGGCAAGGCAAACAAGGGACAGATCACCATCGGTGACGCCATCAACCTGGCCATCCTGGAGGAGATGCTGCGCGACCCCATGACCACCATCCACGCCGAAGACCTCCAGGTATCAAACCACCGGGGGGGGGGGTTGTCCCGTTGTTCTGACGCCAGTCTACTCTAGGCGTATACCGTATATGACACAAGATAACACACCCCCTGGACCGATTTTCAAAGCTCGATTACTCCACGACGAAGAGGATGCATAAACGAAACAATACATTTTCGAAAACCTCTCGACGAGACGGTTCCAACGCCGCCGTTTTCGGCGCTGTGACTCTTCCTGCTGTTGAGAAATCGAGCTTTGAAAATCGGCCCAGGGGGTGTGTTATCTTGTGCCATATACGGTATGTTTGAAATGTCAGCCGGGGTCGTACAGGAGCTTCATTTCTGTACTCCGGATGCTGCGTTTGATGCCGAAGGCCTCCGGGATTCGTCTCATCGATTCTGACGCCGGTCTGCAAACTTTCCGGCGTTTTGTGTTTTGACGTATTCTATCAGCGGAGGTCACACTTGTTACTGTTGTACTCGGTGCAGACCTGGGGGGTACATGGCAATCATTGTACAGCATTGTTTTTGTAGCACGGGCTGAATATCTTGTATGACTTCGATCAGACCGACCCCCTCCTTTATCATCGGCATTCACACACCCTGGAAATGGAACGGGAATCAGCCCCTGCTGCTCGTTCATCGACTTATAAATTTGAACGTTTTTTCGGCCATTACTGCTGCCTGGCTCTGGTTTCTTGCTTTGTTTTCTGTCGTCTTGTTCGAGTTTTCATGTCATCACTTTTTCCTCTGGTTTCTTGTGCGAGTCATGCATGTGATGACTTTGCTTTCGGTTGTCTTTTCGGGTTTTGCATGTGACCACTTTTTTTGCTCTGGCCTCTTGTTCGAGTTGTGCATGCGATGACTTTGCGTGCGGTTGTCTTTTCGGGTTTTGCATGTGACCACTTTTTTTGCTCTGGCCTCTTGTTCGAGTTGTGCATGCGATGACTTTGCGTTCGGTTGTCTTTTCGGGTTTTGCATGTGATGACTTTGCTTTTCTGGTGTCTGGTGTGTGTGTCATTCGGCAGGCCGGTTCTTCGTACGACATCCCGAAGAAGCTGCAGGAGGTGTTCGGGTCCCTCCGTGCTGCTGACGAGATCATCGACGAGGGACACATCATCGGAAAGGTAACACAACTGCTGCTCTTATTTTTCAGACAACATACATTAAATGAAATAACAATATACCCGTTGGAAATAATACCACGGCAGCAGTCAAAGGGGATGGGTTGAAGTCTTTTCAGCGGATGGGGGCGGGGAAAACGGCTGGATAGAAACTGTCATGCGTCTGTTTCAGGACGTTCACTGAATTTTTGAGCAGTGATGTCAGCTGGTGCTAAGCACAAAAACATCTGTAGAGGTGTGAATTTTGGCATGGCGGTCTGGTCAATTTGTCTTCGCTAGCGACGCCCGTGTGGCTTTACCCTAGACAACGTTTGTGGCAGGCACGTACGATGCATGGATTTGTAGTTGGTTCGGGGGGCGTTTGCAGTGCGGTCTGAGGCACGTAAAGCGTAAGGTAGCGGCGACGTGATCGATATGTGCCTATTCTGGGGATTCCGTGGTTTCTACATGGAGGGCCCCTTGAAGTGAAACTTGACGTGAGCGTAAGATGTCCGGCCGATGGCGAAGTTGCTGTACCTACAAGGGAACATGATTTTTGGCATGATTTCATCGGAGTTGGCGATGAGAAGGTGTGTAGCAAGCCCTGCTGAGATGACGGAGAAGGCCGAAAGCGCACCAAAGTTGGCACCTACGGCCGGTATGATGACTCAACCCCTGGGAAGGCGAAGTTCGGCTTATCGCTCCGTCCCGGCATTACAGGGCTGCGAGGGGTCAATGGTTTAGCGACTACGGCATGGCACGTTTACATGAAGACACGCCCCACCCCCCTCCCGCGCGTCCTGATCTTTTCACTCCAATTCGCTGGTGCTTTTGGCTTCAGGCGCTCGGTGAGGGGATGAACGGCTACCGGCCCATCGTCGAGCTCATGAACACCAACTTCGGCATCTACGGCATGGCCGAGCTCAGCAGCGCCGGCAACACCTACGCCACCACCGGCGGACAGTTCGACATGCCCATGACCATCATCGGGGCGGGGGGTACCGCTCCCAACCAGTCCCTCGGTGCCGAGCACTCGCAGGTTTGTGTGTTTTTTTATCGCGGCGGTGTTTTGGTTGCCTTTTGGCGTTTCAGATATGTGCGTGCCTTAATTATGAGCATCGACCGCGCTAACCGGCTGACCAATGAACAGATTTCAGTCTCAGAGAGGTTGAAAACGCAAAACACTTGTAAATGCCATGAAGTGGGACCCCGTGAGGGGGCGGCATGGGTGTGTATGTGTGTGTAGGCGTGTGCCGTCGCTTTCGTGTGTTTCCGTCGCCTTGGTGTTGTAGCAGCGTACGGTATGCCTTAGCCCTGGAAACAGGTGTTTGGGGCGGTTAGTGCACCATCAACCTCTATTCTATTTTTCTTGTTTGAAGCAATCTCCAGGGTTGCATCTCCAACACACATCCCGACACCCCCCGCCAATAATCAGTCCTTACACGCGCTTGAATGCGCACTGACTGTGTCCGGTCGGACCAAAGTTCACCCTCCAAACCTCATCCCACACACCCGCCGTTGCATAGTAGGGAGGAACGATTGGCCATCGGTGATCGGTCCTGCGGGAACATTCCTCAGTCCTTTCGAGGACGCGTGGTCAACGGTCTAACCGCTAAGGCATGCAAAACAGAGGAGTAACCCCCCCCCCCCCCCCCG